AGAGAGAGAGAAAGAGAGAGAGAGAAAGAGAGAGAGAGAGAGAAAGATAGAAAGAGAGAGAAGAGAGATAGGTAGGGAGAAAGAGAGAGACAAAGAAAGACAAAGAAAGACACAGAGAGAGAGAGAAAGAGAGAGAGAGAGAGAGAGACAGAGAGAGAGAGAGAGAGAGAGAGAGAGAGAGAGAGAGATATGCATTGCGGCATAAAAAAAGCCTGTACAGAGTCACAGTAAAGGGACAAACATTCAAACACACTGACATAATAATACAATGTAATAGCTCCCTTTTTTTTGTGGTAATTATTTTACGGCGCTCGAAACTGCATAAGGTCACATTAACGAGTAAACATTTTCAGTAGGTAAGAAATTTTAAATTTTGCTCGGGTGGCGGCCGAAGCCTACTCTTATCGATTTTGGACCACCAAAGAATCTTTAACGTGCGCAACTTTCAAACAGGACCTCCGAGATTTTTTCGCTCTTGTCCGAGAAAGCTCTACCATAAGATCAGGGGTGTGGCTGAAAGACAGCAGTAAGAAGGAGCCAGGGAGTAGCAGTAGAGCAGTAGCAAGGCTGCAGAAAGAGTCAGGAGCCCAGAGGAGGGGGCAAAGGAGGGAGACTTCTAGGATTTAAAAAACCCCCCCAAAAACCAAACAAAAGGTTGCCTACCTGACGAGTTTCTTGTCCGCGACATTCCAGAGACACACTGTGTCGTCATCTCCCCCCGTGACCAACAGCTTCCCGTCTGAGGAGAACTGGCACACGCGGATGGCACACTTGCTGGGGTGAGCCAGGATGGCAGTGGTCTCCCCTGTCTTCACGTCCCACAGTCGCAGCGTGCCGTCGGTGGAGCAAGTCGCTAGGACGGAGCCCAAGGGGGAGAAAGCGCAACAATGGATCTGAGGAGATCATACAGGCAGGAGTCCAGTTTAAAGCTACAGTAAAAACTAATTAATACAATTGTCATCTTGTCCCCATAGAACTGTTTTGTTCAAAGGGTGCTTATGTAAAGAGGCACTTTGGACAAAAAAGTTCTGAGGCGAAGATCTGTTCAAACAGCCACTTCCAATTTCTTCCTGAAGAAAGACTTCTCAGTGTAGTTAATTTATTATAAACGGTAAATGATGATTTCATCTGTGAACACAGATTAACAACCCTTCTTCTACAAGTGAAATGCCTTTCTATTTATCAAGATAACACTTCATATCGTTGCTGTCGAAAGCAATCCACCTAATTCCATATTTTGAAAATTTTCTATTTTTACACCCTCCCAAAGCTATATAAACCAAAGATGCACCTTTCAACGTGACCAAAATTCATGCAGTTTAATGCTATGGTCAAGGCTTGCAATATTTTTCCTGATCGGAACAACAAAACAAAAACTGTTGTTTTTTTGTCTCTGACGCAAAAAGTACCCAAACAGACTTAAGTGGATTGTTTCCAATGCCGACCATATGTATCTGCAGAATACTTTGCGTTTTCAATGAATTCAATCAAGAATTCTGAGTAAACCAGTCCTACAGAGACTAAAATTAGAACCACATCATAGAACAAGCTCAAAATCAGATATTTAAGAGTGTGACAATTTGCAAAGAGCTTTACAAAAATCTAGTCTATTTCTTGTTTCTGCTAACATTTTCAAACACATCATGTCACTTGCATATACCAGATATTTTGTAATGGCCTCATTTACTTGCCACTTACAAATGACAGTCAGTTAAGTTTTAGTTTTAGTAAGAGTATTATAGCCCTTGCAACACAGTAAGGCCATATAAGCGCTGGAGATTAGAGGTGTTACAAGAGCAACAAACACCAAAAAAGGAAGGCAGCGAGATCAGGACAACAGAAAAAGTATTTTGTTATTAAATTTACATCAAAGATAAATAAAATATGGTTATAGTGACATTTGAATGTGATAACCGGTTACATCCGAACAAATTCGAACATCCCCCCTCCCCCCAGCAACTCTTAAAACCCCAAACAAACAATATTTACTGCTAAATATATGACCACCAGATACATCAGAAACACTTACCATGTAGGTGTGCCCCAGCATAGGTGAGCTGGCCAGCTCAGAGAAATCTTTGGCTCCCCACAGACGAACGCTGCGGTCAGACGAGCAGGTGGCCAGGACTGTGGCGGAGAAGGCCAGGCATGTGACGTCTGATGTGTGCGTCGTTATTGTGTGTGTGTTGCTTGCAACAAGACTGCATGGCGCTCGAATTCGCTGTGGGTGGAGGATTTAATACACATTTAATATTAATGAATGGCAATAGATTTCATGGGAGGAATTCCGTGACGACGGGCCACTTTGAAATAGATAGAGCGTTAGGGTTAGGGTTAAGGCAATTGGTTAGGGTTTGGGTATGGCGGGTTAGGGTTATGGTTAGGGTACCTTTAGGTCTCTTCTTTGTTGTGTTTGTCAGGGTCGTTGCTCATTTCCCACACACCAAACGCCAGTCTCATTAAACTGTAAGCCTCTGAAGAGGATGATACTATTACACTATCACATTTTGACAGGAGAAGACATTACTTCAAAATGAAAAGTCTAGATAAACTGGTGAATGCAAGTAGTCTACTACCTTAAAGAGATTACGATTTTAGGCTATAATTTAATGATTAGGGAAAGGATTTATATCCTTAGTTCCGCTCCTCTCCACACCACACCTCCCCTCCCGCATTGTCATTTACTTAATTATCTCCAATGCGAAGTGTTCAATGCTGTCAACTCCTCATAATTTTTTTGGGTGGATTAATCTCCAAACCCAACAATAACACGATAGATCTAGAGAGGGGGGAAATCAAAATACTACATTTTCTCACGGGACTCAATTTGAACCGCAATGCAATGTCTAAGTCTTATCTACGCCTCGACGTGTGTAGAACCTTGATCTAGAAATCTAGATCCAAGAGGCAGATCTATATATATATATATATGTGCCACTTGTTATGATTTGTTTTGAACATTAGAGTCTATATCTTACTTACTTCATTGGTATTCTTTTACTTTCCCTCCTGTATCACACTTAACTACTAGAGTCTAGATGTCTATTTTCTATGTCCGTTTCAAGTTAATAGTTATTAAAATATTTGACGTTTTTTAAAAATCGAGCTTTATCAAGCTAAACCTAGATCTACTTGCACCGTAATTTCTGAGGTTTAGACCAATCGGAGGGGGCCCCCCTGATATAAAAAAAACAACCAAAGTGACTACTCCTCCGAAAGCTCGGGAAAATAAACTTGACCTCTATTTCTCCAAATGGTTTCCGTTCTTGAGATTTTTTGGTTGTTTGCGAGATTTCGGCGGCATCTTTCATTCTGCCATTCTGCGAGGACTGGGAAGACGCATTGTTTTCATCGAATCCAATTTCTAGAGCTGGAGATTTTTAAATGTCTGAATATTCAGATACTTCAATTGTGGTTGGGGCAACGTTCCCGGACTATACTTTATTTGAAAAAGCCTTCAAAAGGTACTGCGAGAAAACAAAACCGCTCGACTTCGACAGTTATTATCAGTTATAATCTATTTTGCCATAAGTCTACCCTAAAGCAAAAACTAAAATCCTTCTCATGTAAACAAAAAAAATCCCCCCCACCCCTTCACACCGTATATATACACACACACACATACACGCGCCCACGAGCGCATGCTGGCCACTCCATTCGTATATAACCAACAAATCTCGAGAACGTAAACCATTCTGAGAAATAGAGCTCACGTTAATTTTACCAAGCATTTGAGGAAATAGAGCCAGCCAAAAAAAAATCTGGGTGTTTAGACCCATATTAAATAGATGTTTTGGAGTTAGGCCCGGTAATTACACGTAAAAATAAATTGTACAATAACTGGACGATCCAGCGAACATACGATAAATCGCCCGGTGTAACCACAGAATTGTACAAAATTTGGTCGATTGGACGATGGCTTGATATTTTCCGTGCCATCAGGTTCAGATTTAGAGGAGACGCGCTGTGACGAAGAATCACTTTCAAATTTGCCTCCGCACAGGATTAAACTCCGGCGCAAAATTTACAAAATGATTATTGCTCCTTAAAACTGATTTCATATTCGGAATCAGCATCTCAAAATAAGCAAATTAGCTCCCAGAGAACCTGATTTGATGCGAAATTATGTAAATTTTAGTAATTTTATTATTAATTGATCGTCAATGGTGAAGTTGTGCATCAAGGTCACTCGGTGCATTGCATATCTCTGCAGTCAAGTCAAAGCTTCTCTTTCTACACATAACACGGTACAGTAACTGCCACCCTTTTCTAAAGTTAAAGACAGTTCCGCTATTTCTCAAAATGTACAGTGGAGGGTTGGGGGGAGGCTCTCGTGATCAAGAGGTACAGTGTTCGCCTTTCATTCATTCTTTAGGTTCAGGGCTCGACACCTTCACATAGGCTAGGCCTAGAGTGCAGGCAAATTGCTGTCTTCGCAAAGAGACATGGTGGCTTTATGACAACACAGTTCGGTAAAATGGACAGTTCTTACATTTGACGAATCTGATACACGTCAATTTATCGTTGCGTGTAACCAGGCATAGGCCGGATTTGAAATTGATTTGTGAGTTTAAGTGGCTATATAGATCTATATAAGTGTGATCTGAAGCAAAAAAAGACTGCAATTAGACCCCCAAAGCAGGGCAACTGTGTGCGGGAAGGAAAGTATACATTTATCACTTCTCTCTCTCTCTGCCAACTCTGTTGTGATACATTGTTATTGTTATGATTCGCTCAAAATTCGTACCAACCTACCGCGTCTGTCATAACAGAAGAAGTCCTATAGTCTTCCCCGTGAAAAACTTGGGGTCTTGAAACAAACATGAATCCTTTTCACCGAAGCACCAGAGGAAAAGTGGTCATCTGATGATGTGAACTATCGATTGTGAAATATCCGACGGAACGTTACACTGTGCGCTCGTGGGCTACTGCTTGTATCAGTGCCACAGATTCCGTCACCCATGAAAACTTTGGTCATGTGACACTTACACAATAAGGGAAATTACTCTCGGGTACCTTTCGATAGCCACACCCATTTTTATCTGGGGGTGATAACTCGGCGTACAATGTAGAATCTAGGTCTATGTACAATGTACTTGGTTTGATACTTAGCCTGTAGCCTACTTGCATAGTTGACAGTGGGGAGTGTCGAGTGGCACTGAGTGAACCGACTGATGCGCGGGCGCTGACTTTGTCGGCTTATTATGTGTTCCTCAAACCTGTCTTTTTACAACCTTATCTTATATGACCACCTGTTGACTTATATGGGATGTCGCCCCATTCTCCTGGAAACAAGCGCATCCTCAATGTCAATAGCATTATTAAGAACGTAGCTATCCCCCCCCCCCCCCCCAAACTTCTCCTAATCACGATCTCTCTCATCACGGTGAGATATGTTCCATATAGATCTAATGTGACTGGCGAACATAGACGTTTAGCCGTTCTCGTCCTGAAACCCCTTCGCCCCAACGGACCGACAACACCTCTGCAGTTGAATACTTTAAAGAAGTAAAGTTTTGCCCGTTGCTTTATTTTGGTTGAGGTTTGTCAATCGGAACTTGCGGTACTACGAACGAGAGAAGAGCAACACGAAATACCCCCCTCCCCTTCCCGCTGGCCCCCCCCCCCCCCCCCCGGTGCCATCTCCAATTGTTAGATGCAAAAAGATTCAGAAAAACAATGTGTTTTAACCAAGGAGATTAAATGGTTTTAACGAAATTGTTCATCATCATCATCATCATCATTAATTAACTGAAACATATTTTACGTCGTTAACACTTATTCATTTAGACTCTATGGCCTATCATTAAAAATTTATGTGTAAATGTGGGTGTGTGAGTAGGCTATGCCCTACATGTTTAATCATGTGGAAGAGTGTTTATGTGCGTGCGTGCGTGTGTGTGTGTGTGTGTGTGTGTGTGTGTGTGTGTGTGTGTGTGTGTGTGTATGTTGTGAAATGCCATATCAATGTGCCAGTGTCTGGACAATAATGATTAAGCTTCTCTTATCTAATCATTGTTGAAAAGAAGAGTACGGTAAAGATATGAATTAGATGGGTCTTGTAGGTTACAAATACTTTAGTAAATTTCCAGAAAAAAAGTTGCACAATACATGTACCGGTACGTTGTATGTTGTATAAATCTAGGGCTTCATCACGAACACACACAAAAAAGATAGAGCAAGAACAGATTAATTTTAAAGATGCATTTGGAGTACATTTGTATCAAACTAGAAGGAGCGGAGACTTGAGAAAAAAGAGAAGTAAGCTTAATTTAAACTGTTGGCCTACATATGATTGCGTGCGTGCTCGCGCGCGCTATGTGTGTGTGTGTGTGTGTGTGTGTGTGTGTGTGTGTGTGTGTGTGTGTGTGTGTGTGTGTGTGTTTGTGTGTGTGCTGGTATGTGTGTGTTGTGCGTGTGTGTGTTCTTCTTCCACAGTTGACCAATGTTATATAATACTTAGCCCAGTGCCGCTCTTTTTCAACAGTTGACCACTATGACGTAACACTTAGCCCAGTACCCTTCTCCAATAGAAGACCACTGTTATATATAATACTTAGCCAAGTACTTATTTTTTTCAACAGTTGGCCACTGAGATGAAATACTTCGTCCAGTACCTCTCTCCAATATATGACCACTGTTATATATAACACTTAACCCACTACCGCTCTTTTCCAACTGTTGACCACTGTTATATATTATACCACTTAGCCCAGTACCGCTCTCCAATAGTTGACCACTGTTATAGTTATATATAATACTTAGCCGAGTGCCTCTCTCCAATAGTTGACCAGTGTTATATAAAACTTGTCCCAGTACATCTGTCCAACCGTTGACCACTATGACGTAATACTTAGCCCAGTACATCTCTCCAATAGTTGATCACTGTAATGTAATACTTAGCCCAGTACCTCTCTCCAATAGTTGACCACTATGACGTAATACTTAGCCCAGTACGTCTCTCCAATAGTTGACCACTGTGACGTAATACTTAGCCCAGTACCTCTCTCCAACAGTTGACCACTGCGACGTAATACTTAGCCCAGTGCCGCTCTCCAATAGTTGATCACTGTAATGTAATACTTAGCCCAGTACCTCTCTCCAATAGTTGACCACTATGACGTAATACTTAGCCCAGTACCTCTCTCCAATAGTTGACCACTGTGACGTAATACTTAGCCCAGTACCTCTCTCCAACAGTTGACCACTGCGACGTAATACTTAGCCCAGTGCCGCTCTTTTTTCACAGTTGGCCACTGTAATGTAATATTTAGCCTAGTACATCTCTCCAAGAGATGACCACTGTAATGTAATACTTAGCATAGTACATCTCTCCAATGGATGACCAC